ATGAATCTTTAAAAAGTAAAGATTAATATAAGGGTGCATATATTCTTTCTGATTGGTGTTTCTTTTTTAAAAATATATTTTCATTGATTTCAAGGAAGAGAGGAAGAGAGATGGAAACATCAATGATGAAAGAGAATCACTGACCTGCTACCTCCTGCATGCCCCACACTAGGGATCGAGCCCGAAACTCGGGAATGTGCCCCGAGAGGGACTTGGACCGTGATCTCCTGGTTCATAGGTTGATGCTCAACCACTGAGCCACACCAGCCCAGGCCAGGATTCTTATGATATATTCCCAGAAGTGGGACCACTGGGTCAAATGGCAGTTCCATTTTTAATTTTTTGAGGAAACACCATACTGTTTTCTATAGTAGCTGCACTAGTGTGCATCTCCACCATCAGTGCACTAGGATTCCCTTTTCTCCACATCCTCACCAGCACTTATCATTTGTTGATTTGTTGATGGTAGCCATTCTGACAGGTACAAGGTGATACCTCATTGTCATTTAAATTTGTATCTCTGATGATTACTGACCTTGAGTTTTTTTCATATGTCTCTTGGCCATCTGTTTGTCCTCTTTGGAGAAATGTCTATTTAGGTCTTTTGACCAAATTTTTATGATCCTTTGCCCATTACAATAGCTAAGATCTGGAAATAGCCCAAATGCCCATCAATTTGAGTGGATAAAAAAAAGATGTGGTGCCCTGGCCAGTGTTCTCAGTGGTTAGAGTGTTGGCCTGTGCACCAAAGGGTCTAGGGTTCGATTCCCAGTTAAGGTTACATACCTGGGTTGCAAGTTCGATCCCTGGTCCCGATGGGGGTGCACCAGGGCCTCATGAGGGAGGCAACCAATTGATGTGATAGACAAATCGATGTTTCTCTCTCTCCCTTCCATTCTCTCTAAAAAAATTTCCTTGGGTGAGGATTAACAACAACAACAACAAAATGTGGTACATTTACACAATGGGATACTATGCAGTTGTTAAAAAGAAGGATCTCTTATCCTTTGAGACAGCATGGAGGGAGCTGGACAATATTATGCTAAGCCAGTCCAAGAAAGACAAATATCACATGATCTCACTTATGTGTGGAATAAAATAAATTGACAAACAAAATAGATCCTGAGACATAGAAGCATGCAACAATATGAGGAATCTTGAGGGGAGGGGCATAGTACGGGAAGAGATTAACCAAACAACTTATATGCATAACCCATGTACACAGACAGTAGTTCAGTGAAGGCCTGGGGCAGGGATGGGAGCGGGATGGAGGGGCTCATTGGGAGGGTGGGAGAGGAGGAAGAGGGATATCTGTAATACTTTCAACAATAAAGATTTTTTTAAATATATTTTATTGATTTTTTACAGAGAGGAAGGGAGAGGGATAGAGAGCCAGAAACATAGATGAGAGAGAAACATTGATCAGCTGCCTCACGCACACCCCCTACTGGGGATGTGCCCGCAACCAAGGTACATGCCCTTGACCGAAATTGAACCCGGGACCCTTGATTCTGCAGGCCGACGCTCTATCCACTGAGCCAAATCAGTCAGGGCAAGATATTTTTTTTTAAGTAAAGATAATTTCCTATGTAATGATGCTGTTATTACACTTAACAAAATCCAGCTGACTTATATCTCCTTCAGGGCAGGGAGGTCCTATCATGTTGGGGAAGGCTTCAAAAAGAGCCTACTAGGGGACTC